GATGGATCAATGAATACCTGTAGACATTCCATCACAAAAACAGTTGTGTACAAATACTGACATGGTCAAATTGACCACATCAAGCTGATAGAACTAACTGAAACAAATCAGCATATTATCTGACACAAAACAAAACTGGAACACCACAAACATTCTGTCTGTAATACCTGCATTAGAAACTGACGGCTGGCAGTTAATTTCCCTGAAAATGTGAACACATACACAGATATTTCCCAAAGTGAAAGTTAGAACTAGTTTCTCTCAGGAAATACAATCACTATTGACACTCAGATCGCTCAAGCCACAAACAACACCTTGTGGTGACGCTCAGAACTAAACAACTTCAGAAATGTCAGTGCTAATCTTTAGCGATTAGAACTGTTTGAAATTATATATATGTATAGGTATAAGAGAATTCTTAAATCATTAATCAAATTACCCGGGTTATTAGTTTCATGACAATTTTATCCCAGTCAAATAAGTGGTGAGGACAAGCTGGCAGGCAACAGCACAGACACATCAGCACGGCTCATATCTGAAGGCACTGTCACAAGCTTCACACACCTCCACACATCTCCACACATCACCACACATCTCCACACATCACATCACCACACATCTCCACACATCACATCACCACACATCTCCACACATCACCACACATCTCCACACATCACCACACATCACCATGTCTGACTGCACAGGATGTTTGTGGCATTTATTAATCTGAGATTGCTACAGTCATAAACTTCACTCTGACATTTATGATTTTTCTTTAAACATTTCTCTGGACAAAGTATTCTCTCACATTCACAAAAACAGATTTGTATAAAGTCTCTGGTGCATTCTAACAAACAAATCTGTCATTGACAGTGCCAGCTAAAGATAGACTAGAAAACATAAATTTCAACTAAATTGCTAGTCATGAATTTTCTCCAAAAGACCATGCAGAAAAATAAAAAATAAAACATAACAATATAATTGTACCATCTCCCATAAATGTTAGAGACAAACGATAAATGGGTGTGTTCAGTAAAGGGGATGAGGGGTTGCATGCTTATCCCCATAGACATCACACTGTAAATGTAAAAAATATATTGATGGACATAAATTCTGTCAACACATCATCTGGACAAACTGGCAGGTCAGAGAAGGGCACATGGTGAATGCAGGCACTGCTCAATGGAAGCCATAACAATTATAACATCCACATTTGTTTTTATGGAAGTGAGCAGTTTGCTGCTAAATCTAGCCATGATAATACTGGGGTCGGTGGATACTTGACCAGTTTGACTGTTTATCCTATTATATAATTTGCTTTAGTTGACTGTCACGCTGCCATTGATAATCTCTTTCCTGTTTAACTTGGCTAGGGGCACAATTTTCTCAAGAGTTCTATCTTCTATCCTCGGGTGTCAAGATGTCAAATGGTTTTCTGAAGTATTTTCTCTTTTCTAGAAGTGTTTTCTCTGATACACTGGAGTGTTTTCTCTTGTCTAGAAGTGTTTTCTCTGATACACTGGAGTGTACATACATACGTAACGATTACATAGTTAAGCATAGTCTGCCCTCTTCTATGTTGGAATTACAGAAGCAACATGTTCACATACAGCAGTGCTAGCTACTGAACCATGGCAAATCCAGCTTTACAACCAACTAGACATGATCACTATCAACACCACATAGATAATAGATGATTTGATGTCCTGTTGTTTGAATCCTGGACTCTCTACTGATTACGGTAAACATGTCCTGTCACCAATATGACTTGTAACTACTACTGCCTATAACAAACATGACCTGTCACAAACATGACCTGTCATAAATGTGACCTGTCACAAACCTGACCTGTCACAAACGTGACCTGTCACAAACGTGACCTGTCACAAACGTGACCTGCCACAAACGTGACCTGCCACAAACGTGACCTGCCACAAACATGACCTGTCACAAACATGACCTGTCACAAACATGGCCTGTCACAAACATGACCTGTCACAAACATGACCTGTCACAAACGTGACCTGCTGTAACCAGGTACCTTATAACCAAACTACTGTGCTATAGATCAGTATCATAGCCCAAGTCCCAGATGAAAAGGTATACAACTCCTGCTACATACAAGAAACAGACTTATGTCCCCTTGCAGAAATTGAAGTTTGTAAATAAAAGGCTAGGAGGCAGTGAATGTGGGGCCTTCACTCAGACAAAGGAAGCAGTGAATGTGGGGCCTTCTCTCAGACAAAGGAAGCAGTGAATGTGGGGCCCTTCTCTCAGACGGAGGAGGCAGTGAATGTGGGGCTTTCACTCAGACAAAGGAAGCAGTGAATGTGGGGCCTTCTTTCAGACAAAGGAGGCAGTGAATGTGGGGCCCTTCTCTCAGTCAAAGGAAGCAGTGAATGTGGGGCCCTTCTCTCAGACAAAGGAAGCAGTGAATGTGGGGCCCTTCTCTCAGACAAAGGAAGCAGTGAATGTGGGGCCCTTCACTCAGACAAATGAGGCAGTGAATGTGGGGCCCTTCACTCAGACAAAGGAAGCAGTGAATGTGGGGCCCTTCTCTCAGACAAATGAAGCAGTGAATGTGGGGCCCTTCACTCAGACGAAGGAAGCAGTGAATGTGGGGCCCTTCACTCAGACAAAGGAAGCAGTGAATGTGGGGCCCTTCACTCAGACAAAGGAAGCAGTGAATGTGGGGCCCTTCACTCAGACAAAGGAAGCAGTGAATGTGGGGCCCTTCACTCAGACAAAGGAAGCAGTGAATGTGGGGCCCTTCACTCAGACAAAGGAAGCACTGAATGTGGGGCCCTTCACTCAGACAAATGAAGCAGTGAATATGGGGCCCTTCACTCAAACAAAGGAACCAGTGAATGTGGGCCCTTCACTCAGACAAAGGAAGCAGTGAATGTGGGGCCTTCACTCAGACAAAGGAAGCAGTGAATGTGGGGCCCTTCACTCAGACAAAGGAAGCAGTGAATGTGGGGCCCTTCACTCAGACAAAGGAAGCAGTGAATGTGGGACCCTTCACTCAGACAAAGGAAGCAGTGAATGTGGGGCCCTTCACTCAGACAAAGGAAGCAGTGAATGTGGGGCCTTCACTCAGACAAAGGAAGCAGTGAATGTGGGACCCTTCACTCAGACAAAGGAAGCAGTGAATGTGGGGCCCTTCACTCAGACAAATGAAGCAGTGAATGTGGGGCCCTTCACTCAGTCAAAGGAAGCAGTGAATGTGGGGCCTTCACTCAGACAAAGGAAGCAGTGAATGTGGGGGCCCTTCACTCAGACAAAGGAAGCAGTGAATGTGGGGCCCTTCACTCAGACAAATGAAGCAGTGAATGTGGGGCCCTTCACTCAGACAAATGAAGCAGTGAATGTGGGGCCCTTCACTCAGACAAATGAAGCAGTGAATGTGGGGCCCTTCACTCAGACAAATGAAGCAGTGAATGTGGGGCCCTTCACTCAGACAAATGAAGCAGTGAATGTGGGGCCCTTCAATCAGACAAATGAAGCAGTGAATGTGGGGTCCTTAACTCAGACAAATGAAGCAGTGAATGTGGGGCCCTTCACTCAGACAAATGAAGCAGTGAATGTGGGGCCCTTTAATCAGACAAATGAAGCAGTGAATGTGGGGCCCTTCACTCAGACAAATGAAGCAGTGAATGTGGGGCCCTTCACTCAGATAAATGAAGCAGTGAATGTGGGGCCCTTCACTCAGACAAATGAAGCAGTTTTGGGGACAATCTTCCTCTCAGCAGTTGTGTTTGAGTGATAGGTGTATAAGTGCTACACACAAGTGGCAGTTATTTGTTTGTTATAGTTTGGCTGTGACTGTGAAGATAAATCTCTCACTGGCTGCTGTTAATTCTTATCTAACATATCATGTAAATGAAAACAGGATAATGGGGGAGGGAGTGCGGGGGCAGGGGAGTGTTGAAGACAGACACATATTGTCTTGACTTGTTCAAGACTAGAAAAACTGACAGCAAAACTGAGACACAAGCTCTGCTTATAACCGGATATCACTGTATGAAAATATCTACCTACTCAATCATTGAATCAATAATCTAGTCCCTACTCAATCATTGAATCAATAATCTAGTCCCTACTCAATCATTGAATCAATAATCTAGTCCATCAGAGGTCAGATTATCCAGTGATTCACCCACTTACTTTTCCAGTTAACAAACTTCTACAACTGCCACCATCTCATAGTGTCTATTTCCTCAGAAACCTGACTTATTCATCCAATCACTCATCCAAACACTCACTCATCCAATCACCCACTCATCCAATCACCCACTCATCCAATCACTCACTCATCCAATCACTCACTCATCTAATCACTCACTCATCCAATCACTCACTCAATGACAGTCCAGTTGAGTCCAGCAATAAACAGTCTCCCATGATATGAGACTATCCAGTTACTTGCACATTCACTTCTGCACTCAACAGATCATTTACTCAATGGATAATTTACATACGCAACTGATAATTTACTCACTCAGTAGATAATTTACTCATTCAACAGATAATTTACTTACTCAGCAGATAATTTACTCACTCAACAGATAATTTACTCACTCAACAGATAATTTACCCATTCAACAGATAATTTACCCACTCAACGGGTAATTTACTCAACAGATAATTTACCCACTTAACAGATAATTTACCCACTCAACGGAAATTTACTTACTCAATGGATAATTTGTTCATTTACTTATTCATTCAGATAATATATATATTAACCTCATATATGTTAAATGAATTCTGCAGATTCTGGCAAGACTGTATGCAATGATCCAGTCATGTGACTGATCTAACTGACGTTTAACAGGATGTTTGTGACTGCACATGTGCAATACTGAGGGAAGACACTATCATCATACACTAGATGCGTATGTATCATGTATGAATGCAGGAAGCTATGAAATAAACATGGAAATAAAAATAGATACATGGTGACAAGTGCGGCAGTAAGGAAAAATACCTCGGCTTACCCTCATTGAAGGAACTTTAGGCATACCTCTATCCTAGAATACATTGTCAGGATGTCAGATGTTGGCTTAATACTAATACAATCATGTTATATCTCAGATGTTGAGTGAATATTAATAATGTCAGATGTTGGGCAGTTGATAATATCATGTTGTATATTTTTGTTAAGTGAACACTAACACAATAATGTCAGATATTGAGCAGTCGATACAGTCATGTTGTGTAAGTGTTAGATAAAGCATTAATACAGTCATGCTGTGTAAGTGTTAGATAAAGCATTAATACAGTCATGTTGTGTGTCAGATGTTAGATAAATCATTATTACAGTCATGTTGTGTGTCAGATGTTAGATAAATCATTATTACAGTCATGTTGTGTGTCAGATGTTAGATAAAGCATTATTACAGTCATGTTGTGTGTCAGATGTTAGATAAAGCATTATTACAGTCATGTTGTGTGTCAGATGTTAGATAAAGCATTAATACAGTCATGTTGTGTGTCAGATGTTAGATAAATCATTAATACAGTCATGTTGTGTGTCAGATGTTAGATAAATCATTATTACAGTCATGTTGTGTGTCAGATGTTAGATAAAGCATTAATACAGTCATGTTGTGTGTCAGATGTTAGATAAAGCATTATTACAGTCATGTTGTGTGTCAGATGTTAGATAAAGCATTAATACAGTCATGTTGTGTGTCAGATGTTAGATAAATCATTCATACAGTCATGTTGTGTGTCAGATGTTAGATAAAGCATTAATACAGTCATGTTGTGTCAGATGTTAGATAAATCATTAATACAGTCATGTTGTGTCAGATGTTAGATAAATCATTAATACAGTCATGTTGTGTCAGATGTTACATAAAGCATTAATACAGTCATGTTGTGTGTCAGATGTTAGATAAATCATTATTACAGTCATGTTGTGTGTCAGATGTTAGATAAATCATTAATACAGTCATTTTGTGTGTCAGATGTTAGATAAAGCATTATTACAGTCATGTTGTGTATCAGATGTTAGATAAATCATTAATACAGTCATGTTGTGTGTCAGATGTTAGATAAAGCATTAATACAGTCATGTTGTGTGTCAGATGTTAGATAAATCATTATTACAGTCATGTTGTGTGTCAGATATTAGATAAAGCATTAATACAGTCATGTTGTGTGTCAGATGTTAGATAAATCATTAATACAGTCATGTTGTGTGTCAGATGTTAGATAAATCATTAATACAGTCATGTTGTGTGTCAGATGTTAGATAAATCATTATTACAGTCATGTTGTGTGTCAGATGTTAGATAAAGCATAAATACAGTCATGTTGTGTGTCAGATGTTAGATAAAGCATTAATACAGTCATGTTGTGTGTCAGATGTTAGATAAATCATTAATACAGTCATTTTGTGTGTCAGATGTTAGATAAAGCATTATTACAGTCATGTTGTGTATCAGATGTTAGATAAATCATTAATACAGTCATGTTGTGTGTCAGATGTTAGATAAATCATTAATACAGTCATGTTGTGTGTCAGATGTTAGATAAATCATTATTACAGTCATGTTGTGTGTCAGATATTAGATAAAGCATTAATACAGTCATGTTGTGTGTCACATGTTAGATAAATCATTAATACAGTCATGTTGTGTGTCAGATGTTAGATAAATCATTAATACAGTCATGTTGTGTGTCAGATGTTAGATAAATAATTATTACAGTCATGTTGTGTGTCAGATGTTAGATAAAGCATTAATACAGTCATGTTGTGTGTCAGATGTTAGATAAAGCATTAATACAGTCATGTTGTGTGTCAGATGTTAGATAAATCATTAATACAGTCATGTTGTGTGTCAGATGTTAGATAAAGCATTAATACAGTCATGTTGTGTGTCAGATGTTAGATAAATCTTTAATACAGTCATGTTGTGTGTCAGATGTTAAATAAATCATTATTACAGTCATGTTGTGTGTCAGATATTAGATAAAGCATTAATACAGTTATGTTGTGTGTCAGATGTTAGATAAATCATTAATACAGTCATGTTGTGTGTCAGATGTTAGATAAATCATTAATACAGTCATGTTGTGTGTCAGATGTTAGATAAATCATTATTACAGTCATGTTGTGTGTCAGATGTTAGATAAAGCATTAATACAGTCATGTTGTGTGTCAGATGTTAGATAAAGCATTAATACTGTCATGTTGTGTGTCAGATGTTAGATAAAGCATTAATACAGTCATGTTGTGTGTCAGATGTTAGAAAAATCATTAATACAGTCATGTTGTGTGTCAGATGTTAGATAAATCATTAATACAGTCATGTTTTGTGTCAGATGTTAGATAAAGCATTAATACAGTCATGTTGTGTGTCAGATGTTAGATAAAGCATTAATACAGTCATGTTGTGTGTCAGATGTTAGATAAAGCATTAATACAGTCATTTTGTGTGTCAGATGTTAGATAAATCATTAATACAGTCATTTTGTGTGTCAGATGTTAGATAAATCATTAATACAGTCATGTTGTGTGTCAGATGTTAGATAAAGCATTAATACAGTCATGTTGTGTATCAGATGTTAGATAAAGCATTAATACAGTCATGTTGTGTGTCAGATGTTAGATAAAGCATTAATACAGTCACGTTGTGTGTCAGATGTTAGATAAATCATTAATACAGTCATGTTGTGTGTCAGATGTTAGATAAAGCATTAATACAGTCATGTTGTGTGTCAGATGTTAGATAAAGCATTAATACAGTCATATTGTGTGTCAGATGTTAGATAAAGCAATAATACAGTCATGTTGTGTGTCAGATGTTAGATAAAGCATTAATACAGTCACGTTGTGTGTCAGATGTTAGATAAAGCATTAATACAGTCATGTTGTGTGTCAGATGTTAGATAAAGCATTAATACAGTCATGTTGTGTATCAGATGTTAGATAAATCATTAATACAGTCATGTTGTGTGTCAGATGTTAGATAAAGCATTATTACAGTCATGTTGTGTGTCAGATGTTAGATAAAGCATTAATACAGTCATGTTGTGTGTCAGATGTTAGATAAATCATTAATACAGTCATGTTGTGTATCAGATGTTAGATAAATCATTAATACAGTCATGTTGTGTGTCAGAGAATACAACAATACCAAAGTTAGCTGGTAAAAAAGAGAATAAATATTAGTGAAAAATGGCAATTTTCTTCAGTGTCAGTTCTAGTGCTTAGGAAGGTAGCTATTAAGTTATTGCAAAATTGAGTCTAAGTCTTAGTCGAGGTTTCAGCATCACTGCAATCAGGTTTTCCCCATACTTGCTCCTGTTTTAATGTGTTATAATTATATGTGTATGTTGCATGGCAGTTGAATTAGTATGGTCTGTTTTAATGTGTTATATAATTAAATGTGTATGTTGCATGGCAGTTGAATTAGTATGGTCTGTTTTAATGTGTTATATAATTAAATGTGTATGTTGCATGGCAGTTGAATTAGTATGGTCTGTTTTAATGTGTTATAATTATATGTGTTTGTTGCATGGCAGTTGAATTAGTATGGTCTGTTTTAATGTGTTATAATTATATGTGTATGTTGCATGGCAGTTAAATTAGTATGGACTGTTTTAATGTGTTATAATGTATGTGTATGTTGCATGGCAGTTGAATTAGTATGGTCTGTTTTAATGTGTTATAATTAAATGTGTATGTTGTATGGCAGTTGAATTAGTATGGTCTGTTTTAATGCGTTATAATTTTATGTGTATGTTGCATGGCTGAGTTAGTATGCTCTGTTTTAATGCGTTATAATTATATGTGTATGTTGCATGGCAGCTGAATTAGTATGCTCTGTTTTAATGTGTTATAATTGCATTAATTGCAATTGGGCCTCTGATGCATAACCCCCTGGGACCCTTGGTCCTCTGATGCATAACCCCCTGGGACCCTTGGGCCTCTGATGCAAAACCCCCTGGGACCCTTGGGCCTCTGATGCAAAACCCCCTGGGACCAGGGATTACCTCATTAGGAAGATACTGACCACAAATTTTAATAACTTTAATATTTTTAGCCTGGCTCCATTTTTCCCCCCTAGATCTCACACTTCAGTTAATAATTGCAAAGACAAACACTGCAGCAATTAAAGCGATTAAAGAAGAGATATCCATTATGTGCATTTTCCGTATTATCAAGATGAGATAATGATGAGAATAAGAAATTTGCATTCCTTCAACATACTCATTATATACTGCAGTCAAAATGTTGCAGTTAGGGTTACATATGCAGCATCATTATAAAATCATTTTTCTCTGTTTTTTAAATGAAAATTTATGAAGTATCACTAAATACACAACCAGATCAAGTTTTCTTGTCAAATTCAATGAGGTCAGTTGTTGAAAAGAAGCATGTAATTCCTAAAACACAAATGATGGCTCTAGTAATGTATAACAAGTTGGTGTAATCATAGAGAAATAGACACAGATTATGACAGCAGTGTTTGGTCATGCATGACCATGTTCATATTCCTCTGTGGTTTTTGTGTGATCACACAAAGTCAAATATGACAGAAAGAGACAATTGATCTACTTGAACCCAATCAACAGAAAGTCATTAGGTTGTGTTAAAATAATCACACCTGTTAGTGAAAGGACAACAATGATACCAGACAGATCTGGCCTGCTTGCACTGACCTTGTGTGAGGACATCTCTGACAGATCCCCGGTGCTGGGCAACCCTTGGGGGAAGCTGCTGTTGACAGTCAAGCCCTTCTCCTCATCCTTCTTCTCATTGAAATCCTGGATGTTTGGGGTGCTTTTAGCTCCGAAAGGATGTTCATCAGCTAAAGTGACAATATAGGACAAACATTACACATTGGAATAACATAATTCTTATAAATATATAGTCAACTGAAACACAGGTGACACAGGTGAGCAACATATCTGATGTAGTTAGCTCATGTCCCAGGATCACCACAGGTGACACAGGTGAGCAACATATCTGATGTAGTTAGCTCATGTCCCAGGATCACCACAGGTGACACAGGTGAGCAACATATCTGATGTAGTTAGCTCATGTCCCAGGATCACCACAGGTGACACAGGTGAGCAACATATCTGATGTAGTTAGCTCATGTCCCAGGATCACCACAGGTGACACAGGTGAGCAACATATCTGATGTAGTTAGCTCATGTCCCAGGATCACCACAGGTGACACAGGTGAGCAACATATCTGATGTAGTTAGCTCATGTCCCAGGATCACCACAGGTGACACAGGTGAGCAACATATCTGATGTAGTTAGCTCATGTCCCAGGATCACCACAGGTGACACAGGTGAGCAACATATCTGGTGTAGTTAGCTCATGTCCCAGGATCACCACAGGTGACACAAGTGAGCAACATATCTGATGTAGTTAGCTCATGTCCCAGGATCACCACAGGTGAGCAACATATCTGATGTAGTTAGCTCATGTCCCAGGATCACCACAGGTGACACAGGTGAGCAACATATCTGATGTAGTTAGCTCATGTCCCAGGATCACCACAGGTGACACAGGTGAGCAACATATCTGATCTAGTTAGCTCATGTCCCAGGATCACCACAGGTGACACAAGTGAGCAACATATCTGATGTAGTTAGCTCATGTCCCAGGATCACCACAGGTGAGCAACATATCTGATCTAGTTAGCTCATGTCCCAGGATCACCACAGGTGACACAGGTGAGCAACATATTTGATGTAGTTAGCTCATGTCCCAGGATCACCACAGGTGACACAGGTGAGCAACATATCTGATGTAGTTAGCTCATGTCCCAGGATCACCACAGGTGACACAGGTGAGCAACATATCTGATGTAGTTAGCTCATGTCCCAGGATCACCACAGGTGACACAAGTGAGCAACATATCTGATGTAGTTAGCTCATGTCCCAGGATCACCACAGGTGAGCAACATATCTGATGTAGTTAGCTCATGTCACAGGATCACCACAGGTGAGCAACATATCTGATCTAGTTAGCTCATGTCCCAGGATCACCACAGGTGACACAGGTGAGCAACATATTTGATGTAGTTAGCTCATGTCCCAGGATCACCACAGGTGAGGGGCCCCATATCTGCTCCAGTCCTGTAACAGTGGCAACCACACACAATGTTCTTCACTGTCCCATTTGGAAAACTAGTGGAAAACATGTCAATCTCAGCAAATTCTTGAAGCTTGCACACGCAAAATATAAATGCATAAGGCAGCTGTCAGATATGCTAAGACCAACAGTCCACTACCAGAATATCATCTCACTATTACCACAAATCATAAATCATGAAACCCGGCATTTCACCCGTTAAAAGTACAAACCACTCTGATTCTTAACAGCCACCCGGCACTTTAGTGCAGTCAACAGCATCAAATGGACGCAACAGAAGAAAACACATTTTACATTAAATCCACAGCTCACAATGTCCACCAAGGACTCAGCTCAGTAGTTGGATTATGGTACCTTTATATATATTTATAAAACAGCGGGTCCCTGAAGACAGGTTACACACTGGGACTACATTTCTCAAATATAATAGTATACCCTAGAAGACAGGTTACATACTGGGACTACATTTCTCAAATATAATAGTATACCCTAGAAGACAGGTTACATACTGGAACTACATTTCTCAAATATAATAGTATACCCTAGAAAACAGGTTACATACTGGAACTACATTTCTCAAATATAATAGTATACCCTAGAAGACGGGTTACACACTGGAACTACATTTTTCAAAAATAATAGCATACCCTAGAAGACAGGTTACACAAATACACCTCTCCTTCTTCTTCCTCCTCCTCGTCCATCTTCATTTTCTGCAGGAATCAAATTTTTTGTTTTTGGACTAAATCTGATTGTAGTCTTGCTGTGACTCACTCATGGACAACAAAGACTGGACTAAATCTGATTGTAGTCTTGCTGTGACTCACTCATGGACAACAAAAAAGGACTAAATCTGACTGTAGTTTTACTGTGACTCACTCATGGACAACAAAGACCGGACTAAATCTGATTGTAGTCTTGCTGTGACTCACTCATGGACAACAAAGACCGGACTAAATCTGATTGTAGTCTTGCTGTGACTCACTCATGGACAACAAAGACCGGACTAAATCTGATTGTAGTCTTGCTGTGACTCACTCATGGACAACAAAAAAGGACTAAATCTGGCTGTAGTTTTACTGTGACTCACTCATGGATAACAAAGACCGGACTAAATCTGATTGTAGTCTTGCTGTGACTCACTGATGGACAACAAAAAAGGACTAAATCTGATTGTAGTCTTGCTGTGACTCACTCATGGACAAAAGACTGGACTAAATCTGATTGTAGTCTTGCTGTGACTCACTCATGGACAACAAAGACCGGACTAAATCTGATTGTAGTCTTGCTGTGACTCACTCATGGACAACAAAGACCGGACTAAATCTGATTGTAGTCTTGCTGTGACTCACTCATGGACAACAAAGACCGGACTAAATCTGATTGTAGTCTTGCTGTGACTCACTCATGGACAACAAAGACTGGACTAAATCTGACAGTAGTCTTGCTGTGACTCACTCATGGACAACAAAAAAGGACTAAATCTGATTATAGTCTTACTGTGACTCACTCATGGACAACAGACTGGACTAAATCTGACTGTAGACTTACTGTGACTCACTCATGGACAACAAAAAAGGACTAAATCTGATTGTAGTCTTGCTGTGACTCACTCATGGACAACAGAGACCGGACTAAATCTGACAGTAGTCTTGCTGTGACTCACTCATGGACAACAAAGACTGGACTAAATCTGATTGTAGTCTTACTGTGACTCACTCATGGACAACAAAAAAGGACTAAATCTGATTGTAGTCTTACTGTGACTCACTCATGGACAAAAGACTGGACTAAATCTGACTGTAGACTTACTGTGTAACAACGTCTTTGGCTCGGAGTACTTCTTGCCAATGTCAGCAAGTGATCGCACAAAAGGTAAATGCATGCGGCTACCTCCCTCTTTCTCTGGATGTCGCCGCTTCTCATTCTGATGTCTGTGTCTGCAGAGGATGGTGTTGCGCACCTGGTCCCGCAGGTGTTCCTCCAGCTGCTTGGCAGCAATCATGTTGTCCAGTATCATGTCTGCAACAAAATGTCAACTAGTTTCACCTGGACTGGAGAAGGTCTTTACCTGGAACTGTCAACCAGTGCAACGACCAGGTTTATGAGCTCATATTTATTCATGTTAACGCTGGTAAAATATTCTGTTCCATTTCCAGATATATGTAGTCATCATAGCAAACAATACAAGCATTTAACAGACATAAACAGAGTGACAGAGATATAAAGATAAGATAGATGTAACAGTGATCAACACACAGAAACAAAAATTATACTACAGTAGACAGACACTGAAGAAGACTGATACAAAATATTCACATGGAAAAGCTGGCCAGAAGACAGGCTGAAAGTCACACATAGTTCTATACAAGACACTTATCCAAAGAAATAATACAAATAGTGTGTGTGTGTGTGTGTGCATGCACGCCGGCCTGCCCACCTGCTCAGAGAGTCAGCACAGAACAAATGCTGAACATTTTAGGTAGACAACAAATCAAATAGTTTGGCCATGTAACAAGACTGGCATCAGACAGATCAACACAGAGAACAATGTTAGACAGATACAGCTGTAAAACACCCAGAGGTTGACCACACAAAATATGGACCGCAGAAACATCAGAGACACCGAAAAGTACTTTCTATGAAGTGAACAGAAGGGCCCGTTCTAGAAAGTTCTTGCTGCCCTGATGCCGTGAAGTGATTTCAGAAGTAAAGAAAAAACAAGGAAAAGAAGATCACATATTTCCTAATTTTCTTCTTTTTCTTCCTGCCTTTTTTAAATGGTGGATGCTGACCTTCTTTGGTTGTGAATTTCATAGCAGTATGTTGTTTCCAGTATGTTGTTTCCAGTATGTTGTTTCCAGTATGTTGTTTCCAGTATGTTGTTTCCAGTATGTTGTTTCCAGTATGTTGTTTCCAGTATGTTGTTTCCAGTATGTTGTTTCCAGTATGTTGTTTCCAGTATGTTGTTTCCAGTATGTTGTTTCCAGTATGTTGTTTCCAGTATGTTGTTTCCAGTATGTTGTTTCCAGTATGTTGTTTCCAGTATGTTGTTTCCAGTATGTTGTTTCCAGTATGTTGTTTCCAGTATGTTGTTTCCAGTATGTTGTTTCCAGTATGTTGTTTCCAGTATGTTGTTTCCAGTATGTTGTTTCCAGTATGTTGTTTCCAGTATGTTGTTTCCAGTATGTTGTTTCCAGTATGTTGTTTCCAGTATGTTGTTTCCAGTATGTTGTTTCCAGTATGTTCTTTAACAGTCAAAGATAAGAGATTTGCAAACATTTTATCTTGTCAAGTGTGTGTATCAAAAGCCTGTGAGTAATCAATGATGTAAAGAAGTAATTAACCTGGCAATAATTAAAAATGGCTGTACACAAGAAATAATGTAGATTGCCAAGGAAACATTCACACTGAAGGTGTTGGTGAACAATCTAAAACTAGAGAATACTACATGGTAAATTAGACAAGACAACACTTGGACAGATGCATGCTGAGGGAAAACTTATCAAAACTAAATAGTCATAACTATAGACTAAACAAAAATTATGAAGACAAAAGATTAGAGAAGACTGACGATCAAGACAGTGGATCAAGACAGTGGATCAAGACAGTGGATCAAGACAGTGGATCAAGACAGCAGATCAAGACAGTGGATCAAGACAGCGGATCAAGACAGGGGATCAAGACAGTGGATCAAGACAGTGGATCAAGACAGCGGATCTAGACAGTGGATCAAGACAGCAGATCAAGACAGTGGATCAAGACAGTGGATCAAGACAGTGGATCAAGACAGCAGATCAAGACAGTGGATTAAGACAGCGGATCAAGACAGTGGATCAAGACAGCAGATCAAGACAGGGGATCAAGACAGTGGATCAAGACAGTGGATCAAGACAGTGGATCAAGACAGCGGATCAAGACAGTGGATCAAGACAGCAGATCAAGACAGTGGATCAAGGCAGCAGATCAAGACAGTGGATCAAGACAGTGGATCAAGACAGCAGATCAAGACAGTTGATCAGTTACCAGCTATCTGTTCTATAGTTAGCGCATCCACCTCCAGCATACAGGTGCCCTGTAGCAGACTGCAGCGAAGCTCAAACAGTGAATGCAGAGACAAGGTGGCCACATGAGGCTTGGACCATCTCTCTCCGCCCTCCTCCACATCCTCCTCAAACTTGATCCATCTGCAGAATAACAAATGAGAGTCCATCTTTCTAGCCACACTGAGTCCATCTTTTGAGCCACACTGAGTCCATCTTTCTAGCCACACTGAGTCCATCTTTCTAGCCACACTGAGAGACATAGGCAACTGCTGGCAACAGCCCAGACAGAAAACATTTCTTGGAAGCTGCGGTATTTACAGTTTACAGAATGCAATGTCAGCGCACAGATGTTTGTCAGACTGTTGCTTGGAGCAGGATTGATTCTCTTCTGGATAGTTCACTAGCTAACTATCTGGATAGTTCACTAGCTAACTAGCTTGTGACTTCGTGAAAATCTGCAATTTTCTGATTGTCTTCCATGTAGGCTTGTCAGCTCTGACATAAAATCTAATATATGACCTAGCTACGTGTATTCTTGACACTCTCTGGTGATGTCGAACATCTATCATCATCAATACTCTCTGATTCAAAGAGAATGATTGCTTTGTTTATCCAAGAAATCTTCAGTGAGTATCTTCTTCTCTTTAATCCGATCTTGTGCCCCTTATCAACAAATCATGAAACCCGTCATGAAACACATCATGGAACATATCATGAAACACATCATGAAACACATCGTGAAACACATCATGGAACACATCATGAAACACATTATGAAACACATCTTGAAACACACCATGAAACACATCGTGAAACACATCATGGAACATATCATGAAACACATCATGAAACACATCATGAAAAATATATTATGAAGCACATCATGGAACACATCATGAAACTGAACACATCATGAAACACATCATGGAACATATCATGTCATGAAACTATTTTTCTGTAATCATTTCTCTAAAATAATAAGCAGAATATTCCTGTAAAAAAATGGATTGAATTATGAGGTCAACATTCTAAAATTATAACTGAGCCTATTCAAAACTGAACCTGTTCAAAACTGAACCTATTCAAAACTGAACCTATTGAAAACTGAACCTATTCTAAACTGAACCTATTCAAAACTGAACCTATTCTAAACTAAAATGTTTATGTTTTAGAAGAAATGACTGAGTAACATCAGACCTGGCTGTTTCTTTCCACTCTTTGTCATCTCCAGCAGGGAAGAGTTCTGCCATCTCACAGAAAATGTCATGAGTTCGATGATCTTCATCCTCTTCTTCGCCCAGCAGGAACTGAACTCTCTGTGAGGGCGGGGCAGCTGAGGATGAACAATGGACGAACTCTCAGACAAGGTCACAATGTCAAGGTCAAGTAAAGGACTCTTCCCCCAGCAGTTGATCCCTGAGGCCAACAGTGCCAGACTCACATCTCACAGAACAATCAGTACTTAACACTATGCCAGCCACCTTTAGTTCCCAGGACTTTACCTGGTACCCATGTAAGGTTTGGCTGATATAGGAGCTAGGGTCATTTTGTTTTAGTTCTACTCAATTTGGAACTGAACTCAAGACTTTCAAGTTGGAAAGAATCTAACTACACCCCACCGACACCTGTGCAACAGTGTGCAAACATCAGGAACTGTGTGAGAACACTAGTCATATATGAGGAACTGACCGGATATTAAATATAGGTTTTTAGTCAGACTTCTATATCCAAAAGGCCTATACACAGGGAAGCGGTGGAGGCAAAGATGAAGTAGAAGACCGGATATTAAATATAGGTTTTTAGTCAGACTTCTATATCCACTAGGCCTACATATAGGGAAGTGGTGGAGGCAGAAGACCAGATATTAAATATAGGTTTTCAGTTAGACTTCTATATCCACTAGGCCTAAATATAGGGAAGTGGTGGAGGCAAAGATGAAGTAGAAGACCAGATATTAAATATAGGTTTTCAGTTAGATCCCTATATCCACTAGGTCTACATATAGGGAAGTGGTGGAGGCAGAAGACCAGATATTAAAAATAGGTTTTTAGTCAGACTTCTATATCCACTAGGCCTACATATAGGGAAGTGGTGGAGGCAAAGATGAAGTAGAAGACCAGATATTAAACATAGGTTTTTAGTCCGACCCCTACATCCACTAGGCCTACATATAGGGAAGTGGTGGAGGCAAAGATGAAGTAGAGGATGGGAGAAATAGGCCTTTTTCCATTAACTAAGGCAAAGCTGGGCAATTAAATCTTTTATGAGAAAAAATTAGGGGAACCAATTAAGGGCAAACATAGCAATAAAAGTTCTCTTCATTGCTATTATTCCTGAGAGAAATGAAAGGGGGCGCCACTATTGTCTTGAAGGATAGCTCTTCTGTAATTAGGTCAGTCAGTGCTGGGACAGAGGAAACAAGGTGTAAGACAAGTGTTCATACACACCTTCTTGGAACTGATTAGCACTGCCTGTAGAACGAGGCGGCTCCTCACGCTTGTGGCTCTTGTGGTGTTTATGTCGATGTCTGCGATCTTGACGGGGCAGGTGAAGTCCAATGTAAACAGTGTCCTGTTTGCGGTGATCTGCATTGAAGAAGATCACATTAAAAGTCTACATGTGAGCACAAGTCAGAGTTCATTCAGCTGACAGCACTCTGAAAGCACTCTGACAGCACTCACAACAGTCTAAATGTGAGCACAGGTCAGAGCGTAGGCCCTCAACCAACTCACGCCAAGTTATTCTATCCTACCACCCTCGACCTATGCACTCCGCAACCCGTACCTGCCATGTTCTCAGTACCCACCCCCCCCCCCTCCAACCAGTACCTGCCATGTTCTCAGTACCCCCCCCCCCAAACCCGGATCTGCCATGTTCTCAGTACCCCCCCCCCCCCCCCCCAACCCGTACCTGCCATGTTCTCAGTACCCCCCCCCCCCCCCCAACCCGTACCTGCCATGTTCTCAGTACCCCCCCCCCAACCCGTACCTGCCATTTCCTCAGTACCCCTTTCCCCCCCCCCCCCAACCCGACCTGCCATGTTCTCAGTACCCCCCCCCCCCCCCCCACCCGTACCTGCCATGTTCTCAGTACCGCCCCCCCAACCCGTACCTGCCATGTTCTAAGTACCCCCCCCCCCCTCCCGTACCTGCCATGTTCTCAGTACCCCCCCCTAACCCGCCCCCCTGCCATGTTCTCAGTACCCCCCCCCTAAACCCGCCCCCTGCCATGTTCTCGATGTGTGCACCCCCCCCCCCAACCCACCCCCTGCCATGTTCTCAGTACCCCCCCCCCAACCCCCCCCTGCCATGTTCTCGATGTGTGCACCCCCCTAACCCGCCCCCTGCCATGTTCTCAGTACCCCCCCCCCCAACCGCCCCCTGCCATGTTCTCAGTACCCCCCCCCCAACCCGTACCTGCCATGTTCTCAGTACCGCCCCCCCCCAACCCGTACCTGCCATGTTCTAAGTACCCCCCCCCCAACCCCCCGTACCTGCCATGTTCTCAGTACCCCTCCCCCCCCTAACCCGCCCCCTGCCATGTTCTCAGTACCCCCCCCCCCCCCTAACCCGCCCCCTGCCATGTTCTCGATGTCTGCACCCCCCCAACCCGCCCCCTGCCATGTTCTCGATGTGTGCACCCCCCCCCCCAACCCGCCCCCTGCCATGTTCTCGATGTGTGCACCCCCCCCCCCCAACCCGCCCTGCCATGTCCTCGATGTGTGCACTCCCCCCCCAACCCGCCCCCTGCCATGTTCTCGATGTGTGCACCCCCCCCCACCCTCCCAAACCCGCCCCCTGCCATGTTCTCGATGTGTGCACCCCCCCCCCCAACCCGCCCCCTGCCATGTTCTCGATGTGTGCACCCCCCCCTCCCCCCCCCCAACCCGCCCCCTGCCATGTTCTCGATGTGTGGACCCCATCACACAGAACGTCAGGTGGTGCCCCTCACCTTGCAGTTCTGCTTGGCTGGGTGCGTGGAAAGACGCGAAGGATCCATGATCCCGCACTGGCATAGATGGGTCCAAGCGGGACTGGTCTGCGGCGAGTGGCGAAGACATGACTAGCCCTAATGAGTGTGAGACCAGCTGAGGGGGCCGGCTACCATAGAAACTGTCGAGTCTTGTGTCTTCTGCCTACTGTGTTGTCTCGGTTGGGCTGCAGCAAGTTTTAGCACATGTCCAACACGGGTAGTCTCGTCCACTCAAGGAAGGTTCTGTTGGAGAAAAGTAAAGGAAAACTAGAATTAATAACAATGGCTGGTGGGGGTGGGGAGGGGAGAGAGAGAATGAGAGAGAGAGAGAGAGAGAGAGAGAGAGAGAGAGAGAGAGAGAGAGAGAGAGAGAGAGAGCGAGACGAGGTGAAGAAAGTGTATCTGGTGAACTCACACATACACTGTTTAATTGCCCCCCCCCCCCCCCTTCCCCCCCCCCCCAACTACTGGACGTAAATTTGCCTAGAAAAACCACACAACAACCAGGGGCTTTTGGGGTTGGTTCTGCAACGTCATGTAAAGGATACGCAAGTAACCTAACCCCTTCCCCCATCAAACATGGCTGACAGACCTTCTCCTGCAACTATCTCCTCTGACCGTATCTATTCTTTAACGGTCGTGGCTTCTCCATGTCTCTCCAGCACAAACGCACGTCTTTTATCCACCCCACACCGGCTCACAGCCACAAGGTTGTCTTATCGGCAAACCACGCCAGCCCTGAGACAGAAGACAGGGCAAGCAGACACTGTGCGACTTCTTCTGCCTGCCTCCTCCTGCATGTTTGGGGGATGTCTTTGGTTTGCTCGTCTACGTACCCCGGTTAGTGTGCCAGGACGTATTCTGTGAAGACAGCCCGCAACTGAGATCGCTCTACAGATGGCAGTCCTTTCCTTATAGCATTATTCATCTCTGGTTGGTTTTTCTTTCCCTTTCCTAACATAAGGTCTTTGTAGATTTGTCTGGATGTTATTCTCCATCGTTTTCTTGTTCTGCCTCGTAGTCTACGACCATTCAACTCCCTTGTGTATACAGTGTTTACCTATCTGACAATCTCTCAGTATACCCCAGTAATTTCAATCTATTAGCCCTCATGATGCCAGAGTTCAATAATGATTTCATGCTTTCTGGCGTGGCTGTGATGTTCACTGGTCGGCTTTCTGGCGTGGCTGTGATGTTGACTAGTCGGCTTTCTGGCGTGGCTGTGATGTTGACTAGTCGGCTTTCTGGCGTGGCTGTGATGTTGACTAGTCGGCTTTCTGGCGTGGCTGTGATGTTGACTAGTCGGCTTTCTGGCGTGGCTGTGATGTTGACTAGTCGGCTTTCTGGCGTGGCTGTGATGTTGACTAGTCGGCTTTCTGGCGTGGCTGTGATGTTGACTAGTCGGCTTTCTGGCGTGGCTGTGATGTTGACTAGTCGGCTTTCTGGCGTGGCTGTGATGTTGACTAGTCGGCTTTCTGGAATGGCTGTGATTTTTTAATGTTGTAATTTTAGCATGGCTGTGGTTTTTTTAAAGTGGGGCCTCAGGGATCCTAACACCTTTTATGCCCCAAATAAAGATAGTCATCTGTCTGACATAATGTGAAACATAGGCAGGAAAACTCAAAGAGGTAACTAATGTTTGTGATTACAGGGCGCCGATTGTCCCATTATCAAATTTTCTAAGGGGCAACATATTTCACGAGGTCTAAATGATGAGGGAGCCTTTGCCTGGTGTATTCGTCCTTGTGACCTGTGTCAACGGACTGGTGAGACAACATGCGCTACCTCAGCCCGGCTGTAACCTCATGTCCTAGGACTTGTTCCCAAAGTATACAAATTGACCAACTGGTGAGACAACATGGACTACCTCAGCCCGACTGTAACCTCATGTCCCATGACTGTTCCCAAAGTATACAAATTGACCAACTGTTGAGACAACATGGACTACCTCAGCCCGACTGTAACCTCACATAACATGACGTGTTCCCAAAGTATACAAATTGACCAACTGGTGAGACAACATGGACTACCTCAGCCCGACTGTAACCTCACGCCCCATGACTTGTTCCCAAAGTATACAAATTGACCAACTGGTGAGACAACATGGACTACCTCAGCCCGACTGTAACCTCACGTGTCATGATGTGTTCCCAAAGTAAAAAAAATGACCAACTGTTGAGACAACATGGACTACCTCAGCCCGACTGTAACCTCACGTCCTAGGGCTTGTTCCCAAAGTATACAAATTGACCAACTGGTGAAACAACATGCGCTATCTCATCCCGACTGTAACCTCATGTCCCATGTTGTTCCCAAAGTATACAAATTGAGCAACTGGTGAGACAAAATGGACTACCTCAGCCCGGCTGTAACCTCACGTCCCATGACGTGTTCCTAAAGTATACAAATAATTATGCTTTAAATTCCGGCGGAAAGTTCTGGTTGTTCGTCCACTTCTGCTCTTGTTTCGCTGGTGGGTGCTTGTTTACAGACCTCGGTTATTCGTGAAGGCACTGTTGGCTCCTCACGCTGAAGCACTCCGACATGGAAGAAAACAACCGAATTAGTAGCCTTTTATGACATGCTTGTTAGGGGCAGTGAGTCTTTTCTCTCCACCCCTTTGTCCCCCCTTTACACACACACTCACACACACACACACTCACACACACACATACATACACACTCACACACACATACATACACTCACTCTCACACATACATACAAACACACACACATACATACATACACTACAGCACCGGAACAGACACGGTTACGTCGCTAAGTTAAAAACAAGAGATGTGTCACTGGGAAACAGACTATCACCAAGTTTATAATGACAGTTGTCAGCCTCAAAGTCAATAATGATGTTCAATCACGAGCCTCAGGATATAATGCCAGCAGGTCATACAATCATCAGCCTCATATATAGAGTTTAATTTATCAAAATCACCTTTCTTAAACACAATCATGATTACAAGGTGACACGGCAAACACTCTCGTGAATGTTATCACCCCTTTCCCCCTCCCCCCCCCCCCCACCCCGAGACAATCCACAATCCACGCATTTATCAGTGACACGATATCCTAAACTAACCGACCCCCAGACAGACGCAATTTTGGCTTCCACCTCCCCCCTTCCCTTTCCTCCCAGCTCAAACACAACTGTGCTTGTATTGACCAGTTGAGATTGCAACTGAGCACAGAACTGATTCCTGATTTTGTTGGTGTTTTCTCTAGGCCGCAAGGTGAGCACCAACATGGATTTCCAAACTGGTGGCTTCATTGATGTCATCAAGTGTCATGAAGACACAATGTCGGCAATTTTCTCTGGCTGTCTTCCTGCACCGTTGTTTTTCGTATTAGTCCTTCCAGTTGTTACACTGTGTTCCTGTTAGCACCTTCTGATAATTTTGACACGTATGACCACCACTTTCTGATGACTGTTTCCTATCTTTCTCTTGACTATTGGAAGACTGTAAACATGGGAGTACAGGCTGGCTATGGGCAGACTGTAAACATGGGAGTACAGGCTGGCGGCTATGGGAAGACTGTAAACATAGGAGTACAGGCTGGCGGCTATGGGAAGACTGTAAACATGGGAGTACAGGCTGGCGGCTATGGGAAGACTGTAAACATGGGAGTACAGGCTGGCTATGGGAAGACTGTAAACATGGGAGTACAAGCTGGCGGCTATGGGAAGACTGTAAACATGGGAGCACAGACTAGCGGCTATGGAAAGACTGTAAACATAGGAGTACAGGCTGGCTATGGGAAGACTGTAAATATGGGAGTACAGGCTGGCGGCTATGGGAAGACTGTAAACATGGGAGTACAGGCTGGCAGCTATGGGAAGACTGTAAACATGGGAGTACAGGCTGGCTATGGGAAGACTGTAAACATGGGAGTACAGGCTGGCGGCTATGGGAAGACTGTAAACATGGGAGTACAGGCTGGCGGCTATGGGAAGACTGTAAACATGGGAGTTCAGGCTGGCGGCTATGGGAAGACTGTAAACATGGTAGTTCAGGCTGGCAGCTATGGGAAGACTGTAAACATGGGAGGACAGACTAGCGGCTATGGGAAGACTGTAAACATGGGAGTACAGGCTGGCGGCTATGGGAAGACTGTAAACATGGGAGTACAGGCTGGCGGCTATGGGAAGACTGTAAACATGGGAGGACAGACTAGCGGCTATGGGAAGACTGTAAACATGGTAGTTCAGGCTGGCGGCTATGGGAAGACTGTAAACATGGGAGTACAGGCTGGCGGCTTTGGGAAGACTGTAAACATGGGAGCACAGACTAGCGGCTATGGGAAGACTGTAAACATGGGAGTTCAGGCTGGCGGCTATGGGAAGACTGTAAACATGGGAGTACAAGCTGGCGGCTATGGGAAGACTGTAAACATGGGAATACAGGCTGGCGGCTATGGGAAGACTGTAAACATGGAAGTACAGGGTGGCGGCTATGGGAAGACTGTAAACATGGGAGTACAGGCTGGCGGCTATGGGAAGACTGTAAACATGGTAGTTCAGGCTGGCGGCTATGGGAAGACTGTAAACATGGGAGTACAGGCTGGCGGCTATGGGAAGACTTAACATGGGAGTACAGGCTGGCTATGGGAAGACTGTAAACATGGGAGTACAGGCTGGCTATGGGAAGACTGTAAACATGGGAGGACAGGCTGGCTATGGGAAGACTGTAAACATGGGAGGACAGGCTGGCTATGGGAAAACTGTAAACATGGGAGTACAGGCTGGCTATGGGAAGACTGTAAACATGGGAGTACAGGCTGGCGGCTATGGGAAGACTGTAAACATGGGAGTACAGGCTGGCGGCTATGGGAAGACTGTAAACATGGGAGCACAGGCTGGCGGCAATGGGAAGACTGTAATCATGGGAGTACAGGCTGGCGGCTATGGGAAGACTATTAACATGGGAGTACAGGCTGGCTATGGGAAGACTGTAAACATGGGAGTACAGGCTGGCTATGGGAAGACTGTAAACATGGGAGGACAGGCTGGCTATGGGAAGACTGTAAACATGGGAGGACAGGCTGGCTATGGGAAGACTGTAAACATGGGAGTA